CACACACACACACACACACACACACACACACACACACACACACACACACACGAGTGCATGCCAAACTGGTTAAATCCAGCTGGGTCTGTAATCAAGTTAACTGATTTGCTTTAGTTAATTGTATTGTGCCAACGTCAATTTCCTGGTTTTGAGAATGTTACATCTTACGTAAGACGTCCAAGAAAGCTGGGTGGGTGAGGGGTATAAGAGACCTCTGTACTAATTTTGAAACTTCTTGTGAGTCTATAATTATTTCAAAGTAAAAAGTAAAACAACGCAAGGTACCCTGCCCCCAGCCCAGCCTACTTCGGGACCGCCCCATCCACCACTTATCTGACCTCACCCGGGCCTTGTCTGCGGCAGCCGGGGAAGACGGGGTGGGAGGAGGAGGAGGTGTGGGGCGGGGCTGAGGGAGGAGCAGGGCGGGGTCACGCACGCGCAGTGCCGGGAAGTCGCGCGTGCGCAGTCTGGGCCCCGGACCGCCCGGCCAAGCCCCTCTCTGCGGCGAGGTCCGTCCTGCCTTGGCTCCTCCGTGCTGCCGTCTTTTCCGGCAGTTGGGGCGCTTCCTGTTGTCCTCACCCGCAACTCTTCCTCGGCCCCTATCACAGAGCCTCTCACGCGTCTCCTCCCTTCCCCTGGCTCCCCGGCTGCTGGCGCTGGGGCTTCGCCTGTCTGCACGTCGCGAGCGCCGGCCGGCGGGGCGTCTGAGGCTGCCCGCCGCCCCCAGCCCTGCCTGCCCCGGGGTCTGGTGAGTGTCCTGCCGGCGCTGCCGTCTTCGCGCTGTCCCAGGCGTTTTCCTTCCTCGCCTCCTCGTGCAGCGACTCCTGGGGCTCCCTCCCTCCTGCCGGCGCTCTCTTTCTAGCCCTGTTCTCTCCGCTCCTTGGCCCTTCTCCGCAGCCTCCCGTCGGCCGCCCTCCTCCGAGTCTCCGGAGGCCCCTCGTTGGCGCTTTCCGCACTTCCCAGCCCCGGGCTCTCCACCCTGCCGATTTCTCTTTCTTTTTGTGCGATGGGGCGGGGAGCCCGGTTCTGCGTTGCTGTCCGCGCTGCCAGCTTTGTCTGCTCGCTGCTACCCGCCAGTCCTCTCGGGGATCTCGGTCATCGCCTGTGTTCACCTCCTTTTCTCTTTATCTGGAGTCTGAGAACCCCAGAGCTGTTGTCTGAGGCAGAAGTGTGGAAAGCCCACCGTGGGGTGTGGTTATCTTTGAGTCTGCTTCTCTCCCCATGGTTAGTCTGAGGATACTGGGCTTGAGATAAAAAGCACGGGAGAAGGCCGTGTAGACTCTTAAGGAGAAGAGAGTGGAAGAGAAACAGCCCGAGGAAAGGCAGAAGTCTGTGCTAGAAAGTGTGCAGAACGCCTAGCAGAGAGAGCAGCTTTCCCAGTTCACTCTGAAATGACTAAAGGTTGCAAAGAGAATTTTGTTCCTTTTGAAACGCGCCGAGGCAGGTTCGAGTGAAGTAGACCCTCTGCTTCCCGTCCCTTTCAGCTCACCCTGGCTCTGAATTAGCCAGCAGGCGCATACGGTTTCCCTAAACAAAAAGCCACCTCAGACACCACAATCACAGGCTTCTCCTCCCCCCCATACATTAGATATTGGCTTCCTCGTAAGGGGACGAAAATTCCATCCTCCAACTCTATAGAAAGCCATTTCCTGTCCCAGCCCTATCGCCCATCACACATACTTACTCTCAACTCCTAGGAGTGGACATGAGTATTTTTACAGATGCTTGCTGAGTGCAGGGCACTGTGTGTGAGATGAGGGAAGAATATTAAAACGAATAGAAGACATGGTGCTTGCTTGCCAGTAGCTTACAATTCACTAGGAGAGATGAGGTATGTGACTTAAGGAATAGTTGAGTTGTCCAAATGAAATATAATGGATTGTCAGTCACAAAGAAATACTTGCAGATATTCATAATTGGAGGGGAAAAAAAAGAAAGAATCCGTATTGGTGAGAGAAGGGTTATCTATAGTGATTGTAGAGTCTGTTGTAAATTCATTTAGCCAACCAGGTTTAATCACCTAAATTGAATAAAACAACAGTTTTCATTTTACTTCCTTTTGAGTTTGCAGTACCTACCCCTGACTTTTATGAGGATGACATTCTTTTGTTAATTTTTGAAAACTTAAGAATTTCTCACCTAGTATTCCCTAGCTTTGCAGAATTGAAGGAGATTGAAACAAATAGGGAAAGGGCCTCCAATGGCTTGTAGGTGAGGGCAAGAGGCTCAAATCATCAGAAGCATGAGGGAAAGCCCTGTCTTTTGAAAAGTTGACTGACTTGGTAAACCTATGAATTACTGTAGGGCAATATTACCTGTGTCTTTTGATTAAAAGTTATTAGAATTAGGCTAAACCTTTTATAAGTGGAGGAAGGGGAGGAGGAGGAGTGCAATCTTTATCATGTTAGAAAGTGTATGTGAAAATTGAAAACCACTCTGCTAAATATTTTTTAGGCCTAATATAGAAGCATCTTTCAGTTCATTTAACCTCCTTTTTATCTTTTTTGAAGTTTAGGAAATAATGCCAGCGACTTAAAGGATTCAGATATTTTTTTTGCCCTTTTTTTTATATACCCACTAGTGTCAATGTAGTTTTTGTTCTTTAGCTTTGTTGACAACTAAATATTACTGCTCAACTTACACTTATTAACCACCTATTATGTGGAAGGCATTATTTGTCTTAGGGTTAAATATTCTCCAATTGTTGTACTTTTATGTTGAAGTAATTTAGTTAAAATACAACTACATATATGTAAAGGGAGAAATACAAAGCTGTCACTTGCTTTTGACTTGTTTTTAGATCTGGCAGTAAATTTTCTTCACCAAACAGTCTTAGAGTGCATGTGGTTTTCATTGTGGGTGGAGGGAGTACAGGCTGACAAATGAGGAACCACACCCAAGCTTCATAAACCAGAGATTTAAAAAAAAATTCTACTGATACTCTAAAAAACATTTTAGTTTGCTTTGGTATTGATAGAAGCTTCCTTATAAAAAAAATAACATATTTTTATAGTATGATAGCTCTATCTAAGTACAATGTCTTAAATTTTTTATTACTGATCATTTTGGCACATACTGAATCAAAATGTTTGACTCTAAAGCAAAGCCTTGATTTTGAATGTCTGTTCTGAAGGGATTATTCTTTATTTAATTTTTGCCTGAATATCTTTAAATAATTACTTAATGTTAAGACTTTTTTCTTTTTAGGTTGGAAAATATTCTTTATTTAGAAAGTAAATTAGAGAGAGAGAGAGGAGATTCACACCCCCAAGTAGGGGAAGGGACCAAAACTTAGGAAATACGGCCTGGCCAGTGCTCAAACAGCCTTCTGTCCGGCCAGGCACTGTGGCTCGCACTATAATCCCAGCACTTTGGGAGACCAAGGTGAGAGGACTGCCTGAACCCAGGGGTTTGAGACAAGCCTGGGCAACTTGGTGAGACCTCATCTCTGCAATAAATCAAGAAAAATTAGCCGGGCATGGTGGCTCATGTCTATAGTTCCAGCTACTTGGAAGGCTGAGGCAGAAGGATCGCCTGAGCCCAGCAGTTTGAGGCTGCAGTGGCTGTGAGCATGCCACTGCCCTCCAGCCTGGGCACAGGGTGAGACTCAGACTCAAAAATAAAAAATAAAAATAAAGTGCCTTGTGTCCATACCAGAGTTTAACAAAGCAATGGCCCAAAAAACTGGTAAGTATTAAGGGGGAAAACCTTAAGAAAACTTTTAAAAAGTATACTCTCTTTGGAAGTGGTCATTGGTCCCTCCTGATTTGTACTGAACTTTATATTGGGATAAAAAGACAGAAGCATATCATGTCGGAGGCAGGATGATAAGTATAAGACATTGAGCACTATTGCCAATGCTGGAGCAAGCCAGTGTTGGTGAACAGTTTGGCCAAATGTGATAATATAGGTTAGCCACAATATCTGGGGGAAAATGAGATTTCAAATTTAGGAAAAGGCTGGACATGGTAGCTCATGTGTATAATTCCAGCACTTTGGGAGGCTGAGGTGAGAGAATTGCCTGAGCCCACGGATTCGAGACCAGCCTGGGCAACTTGGCAAGACCTTATCTTTACAATAAATTAAAAAATTAGCCGGGCATGGTGGTGCACACCTGTAGTTCCAGCTAGTTGGAAGACTGAGGTGGAAGAATCACTCAGCAGCTCGAGGCTGTGGTGACCATGAGCGTGCCACTGTATTCCAGTCTGGAGGACAGTGAGGTTCCAACTCAAAAAACAAAAAAATAAATTTAGGAAAAAAAATCATTCCGTAAACTGTCTAAATTCGTTGGTATTGTTTTTTTTCTTATGTAAAATGAGGAAGTTAGTAGTGCGTTCTTGTAGTTCTGGCTACTTGGAAGACTGAGGCAGAGGATCACTGGAGCCTAACAGTTTGAGGTTGCGGTGGCCAGGAGTGTGCCACTGTACTCCAGTCTGGGCGACAGAGTGAGACTCTAACTCAAAAAAAAAAGAAATTGTAAACTTAGAAGTTACTGGTAACAGTAAATGCTCATTGAAAGTACGGAAGAAGCCGGGCTCGGTGGCTCAGCCTGTAATCCCGTGCCTTTGGGAGGCTGAGATGAATGGATTGCTTGAGCCCGTGGGTTCGAGACCCTCCTGGGCAGCAAGACCTCATCTCTACAATAAATCAGAATATCAGCTGGGCGTGGTAGTGCTCACCTGTAGTTCCAGCTACTAGGAAGGCTGAGGCGGAAGCGTCGCTGGAGCCCAGCAGGTCGAGGCTGTGGTGGCCAGGAGCGGCCACTGCACTCCAATCT